ATAGATAGATAGATAGATAGATAGATAGATAGATAGATAGATAGATAAATACATAGATAGATGATAGATAGATATAGATAGATTAGATGGATAGATTGATAGAGAGAGATAGTATATATAGATGGATAGATGGATGGATGGATGGATGGATGGATGGATTAGATAGATGGATGGATGGATGGATGGATGGATGGATAGATAGATAGATAGATAGATAGATAGATAGATAGATAGATAGATAGATAGATAGATAGATAATGATAGATATTTGAAATAAGCTATTTCTGTTGCATTCATTGGACTGTATCCAATCAATTGAGCATGGCACATAGGATACCCCTTTCTGCCTTTCCTGAGAATACACTTTAAGAAATGACTGGCTAAAGAGTTGTGGGAGCTGAAGTCCACGCATCTTAAAGCTCCCAAGATTGGGAATTATCTCAAAAAGACCATCGTTACCTTTGCCAATGCTCCAGAAATATAAATCAGCTAAACTTAGGTGAGGCATGTAAGCTAGGATTAGATGTCTCCATGTCATGATGCTATAAAGTCATCTAGCCTAAACTGTTCGCTTAAACAGAGTCTAGATGTGGTGTGCATTTGTCACTAACTTAGAGTGTTATGAATTAAAACGATGACGCATGTTTCTTGTTCAGGCTCACAGGTCTTCATATTGCCAGTACAGTTGGTGCCAATGTCAGAACATACTTCACACTCCAGAGTGGCAACTGAGGAGAGAGAGAAAGGGTTGGTTTTGTTTTTTTTTTGTAATTCATAAAATAAAATTTATATTTTTTTATAATTCATGTTTTATTTACAATTTTCCTTTCACATAGTTGAGGTAATTCCCCGTTAGGAGAATGAGCGCACACAGGGAGACGTAGTGAGAGTGGTGAAGAATAAGACACAAACAGCACACAGCTACACTGAATGTAGGTTTTTACTTCCAGTAAAACGGTTAAGCAAAGTTCAACAAACAGTCCAAGTCATTCACAGTTAAAGCAGTCAGTTTTCAGTCCAGGGGTAATCCAAATAACAAAGTCCAGTATCATAAACAGTTCAGTAACAGACTTACATCAAATCCAAGAATAACGATGATCAGTAACAACAGTCAATAGGGAAATGCAGGAACACACTCTCAGCAACAAGAGAACAGGACAACCCAGGTTTCTGGCTCCATCTTATAGCCATTTGAGGAACCACACCCAATTACAATTTTAGCATTCCCTTAAAGAGACAGTATTAAAATGTCTATCCAGGTTTATATATTTTCCAACCCAACTGTTAGGTGACTTACATTCCTAACACACACCATACATATTTTGTGGACAGTGCAATGACTGGGTCAATGCCCTTTTTAAACAATGCTAACAACGCTAATACAAATAAATATACACTATATAATACTAATCTTCCAACCTCAACAATACTATTCTCTCTTTATGGTTCTTATTTTTTTTCCCATTAATTCATTTAAGCATAGATAACATTTCTTTTCACTGTGTATTTATTATCCCCTATTAAGTCACTTATATTTAATGTTTTTAAAAATTACGCTTCATTCCACCATAATTTCAATATCCCAAATATCTAGAACTACTAAGCAAACCAAATGTTAACAAAATTTAGTCAATCCCGGAATTATATCTCAAAATCACCACAATCTCTAATCCTTAAAAGTTTTAAGTTCACAATATATTTTAATACACTATTAATATTAATAATACAATTAAATTACCTAATCCTAAACTTCTCTTTTTTAGAGAGAAAAAAAACAAAAATCTCTTCAAAAAAAAAAAATAAGAAAGAAAGACATGGATGGGTGTTCAAAGGATGCAGCAGAAAGAGAAAACAGAGAGTATTTTCTGAGAATGTATATAATTGGATCATCCTTCCTGAATTCCTCAACCCTTTCCTTTGGAGGTTTTGTCAATGGATTATAGCAAACCTGTAAAATAATTGTTTGGGAAAGATTGCGCTGTAGAGATTCTGAAATAGAGTCAGAAGAGTAGGGGGAGTTTGGATTTTCTCCAGTCCTGCTCAAATCATCAATTCAATTCAGGTGATCAGTTCTATCCAAATTGAAAATTCAAAACATTAACCTGAACTGAATCTCCAAATCAAAATACAGTATTATACAATCCCAGCAGGTGCAGATAGCTAAGCAAGGCAGATAAGAGAAGAGGAGAGAAGAGGAGAGGAGAGGAGAGGAGAAGAGAAGAGAAGAGAAGAGAAGAGAAGAGAAGAGAAGAGAAGAGAAGAGAAGAGAAGAGAAGAGAAGAGAAGAGAAGAGAAGAGAAGAGAAGAGAAGAATTGGAAGGGACCTTGGAGGTCTTCTAGTCCAAACCCCTGCTTAGGCAGGAAGCCCTATAGTATTTCAGGCAAATGGTTATCTAATCTCTTCTTAAAAACTTTGAGTATTGGAGCATTTACAACTTTTGGGGGCAAGTTGTTCCACTGATTAATTGGTCTCACTGTCAGGAAATTCTTCCTTAGTTCTAGGTTGTTTCTCTCCTTGGTTAGTTTTCATTCATTGCTTCTTGTCCTGCCTTCTGGTGCTTTGGAGAATAGCTTGACTCCCTCTTCTTTGGGGCAGCCCCTGAGATATTGGAACACTGCTATCACGCCACCCCTAGCCCTTCTTTTCATTAAACAAGTGAGTTGTCCCTGATTTTAAAACCTTTTCCCCATTCTTCTCTGAGGCTTCCTTACCTGTCTTTAGAAAATCAAAGAACAAGAAGATCTGCAGCAAAGATTGGACGGTCTTGGTTATTCCACCATGAGAGTGTATGTCCAGAAACCTTTTCTGCATGGTAGTAAATTCTTCAGGTGAAAGGTACCTTGAATGGAGAAGGAAGAACTAAGGCTGAAGGAGGTCCTTGTTATGGTTACTCTTGAATTACCCCGTAATCTATCATGGACCCGAGGGAGAAATTCATCCAGTCTGCATTTGGCTGAATTTACAAGGCATTCTTGACTTACAGTCAAAATCAGGACTCGAATTTCCATTACTAAACAAGGAGAAATTGTTTAACAGATTTGAATCATGCTGACCTTGAGCTCTAAACACCCAAATAAACATCGAAATGGTTCTTTACTGGAGGAGGAATGTGAAACTCGGCCAGTGTGATGATGGATGTTTGCAGGGGCCCAGGAGGCAGGAAGTGATATTACACAACTGTGACTTAAAATAAACATATGTGCTTCATAACAATACAGTCATAACAATACAAGAGCACAGGATAAATACAAACTCAAGATTAACGGCACCAAACTTGACTGCAGAAAATACGACTTCAGCAACAGAGAGGTCAATGTCTGGAATACTCTACTTGACTGTGGTTTCTTCCCCAAACCCCAAAAACTTTAACCTTAGACTTTCTACTATTGACCTCACCCCTTTCCTAAGAGGCCAGTAGGGGGCGTGCATAAGCGCACCAATCGTGCCTACCGTCCCTGTCCTACTGTTTTTTTTCTTATGTGTATCCATGTCTTCATAACTATGTTTTTGCTTATACTATTATCTTGTAAGCAATTGACAAACCAAATAAATACTAAATACTTCTGAGCAAAGGAGTTCAAAACAGGAACAAACTTTGTTGGATGTTGGATGCACAGTCCGATCTTCACATCCTCAGTGAGTCCTACAGTGCAAGCCTTATTCTCCTTGTCTCTCCTCTCAAAGCAAATATGTTTGTGTGAACTTCGAGAAATGAAGTTATGCCTCGCTAATGGCTTTGTATGAGCTACGGTGGCACAGTGGTTGGAGTGCAGTACTGCAGGCTACTTCTGCTGCCTGCCGGCTGCCTGCAATTCGGCAGTTCGAATCCCACCGGGCTCAGCCTTCCCTCCTTCCAAGGTGGGTAAAATGAGGACCCAAATTGTTGGGGGCAATAGACAGACTTTGTAAACCATTTAGAGAGGGCTGCAAAGCACTGTGAAGCGGTAAATAAGTCTAAGTGCTTTTGCTATTGCTCTTGTATGCATGCGTGCTTTCAAGTTGTGTTGACTCCTGACAACTTCCAGCATCACTCCCTGCAGTTTTCTTGGAAGATTTCAGAAATGGGTTGCCACTGCCTCCCTGCTAGGGCTGAGGGAGAGGGAGATGAAGGGAGGAGAGGGAGTCAGAGAAGGAGAGATGGGGAGGGAGGGAGGGAGAGGGAGAGGGAGGGAGACAGAAGGAGAGGGGGAGGAAGGGAGAGGGAGACAAAGAGAGAGGGAGAAGGAGGGAGAGGGAGGGAGGGAGAGAGGGGGGTGAGAGAGAGGGAGAGAGAGAGGGAGAGAAAGTCTGGCCCCAAGAAACTCAATCAACTTCAATGGCTAAGATGGGGCAAATTCAGTCCAGGAGTTAGACTGGGTGAAAGGAATTGAAGTTTTCTCTGGCCCCTATTGAAAACCATGGTCTAGATCCACAATGTGGATGATTTTATACCATACCAAAATAGTTCTAGATAGATAAAGACAGGATAAGTTCAGGTAATTGGTTTCTTTTCCGTATTTCCGGCAGTGAAATGAACCTAAATTAATTGCATCAGTTTAAGCTCCCACTTCCAGTAACTGACAACAGAGATGCTAAGGTTCTTTTTTTTTTTTTCTTCTTCCTTAAAGTGAAATTACCTCCATCCTCAAGATTGGGTACCTTGTGCTGGAACCCAGAGGAAGCTATGAGAGGAAAGAAATTTTACTCAATTTTTTTTTCTTTTTTTTGCAAGAGTAAACAATTTTTTTTTACTCTTTTTTTCCCTTTTTCTTGCAAAAAGTGGTAAGGGCTGTCTCCTGTGTAGGCCTTGTGTTGTATTTGAACATCTCTATCTCTCTCCCTCTGTCTCTCTCTCTCTCTCACACACACACACACACGTGTTTTACACTCCTCTTTTTCACGTGTTTTTAAACCCCCCGTCTGCTGGGCGAGCGGTGTATGAACATCCGGCTTAGGTGTTCTAACTGCCATCACTTCTAACTGCCATCACTGTGAGGAATGGCAGGACCTGGAAACGACATCAGCCATCTTCTTCTGGCAATTGAGGTAACATCATCAATCCAGGGGAAACCCAAGGAAAAAGAAAGAGGGAAAGGGTTCACCCTGTTCACCAAAATTACACCATTACTCATTTCACTGACACAAACATTACTTTTTAATTCAAACATAAGAAGGGAGAAAATAAACAGCATATATGTTTGATTTTGCATACATTTCACATTTCAAAGACTTGCCTGGGTCGGTACCCAAGAAACAGGAAGTTTGCATCTTGAACTGATGGGAAAGAGCCAAAGCCAAAGCCAGTTGCTGAGTGAGAAAAAAAAAATCAAAATATTTTTTCTTTGTGGTAGCAGAAGATGCAGCTTGAAATCCAGACTCTGGTGACTTCCGTTGCTTCTCAGCCAAAGGCCCTGAAATTGGCTGACCAGGGATAAGAGGTGAAACTGTCTCAGGAGGATATCTAGATGGATTATTGTGACATTTGGACCTTCAACCTTGAAATGAAGTTTCTACCACCCTATTGAGATGCCAGGAAGACTGTAGGACAGAGACACACGATCTAAAGATTTGACATGCTGGGGAGACAATCCAACAAAGGGGAAGGAGGATATTCCATGCCATTTGAAATATTTTCCATGCCATTTGAAAGCTGCACCAGTGTGTCGTGAGTCTTGTGTCAACATTTTGGGCAGCCTTGATGTCCAACTTCATCCGTGGATCTGTAAATCTCAATGCCGGATTCTTGTTTCAATCTCACACGTCTTTGACTTGTTCAAATAAATAAAAAGAAAATCAAAATATCTCCAAATGGCCAAACTGGGGAAGCAAAGTGTCAAACTTAACTGGTCTCTCGGTGGGCAGTCAGAAATATTTTTTTAATGAGCATTAAAGAGGAAAAGCATCATCGGCAGAAGAGCCAGGAAGAAAACTTCAAGAGAGGAGCAGCTGCTATCTGTCAACCCTGAAGTGACACTAACCCTATTGGCTTCTTGGCAGGTTACATCCTGGATCCTGGAATTTCCAATCAGTGGCCCTCGGTAGGTTTTTAGTATATATATATATATATATATTTCAGGTTCTTCAGGGGAATGACCAGAGCTCAGAAATAAGTCAAACATGCTGTTGACTATGACAGGTTTTTTTTCATGTGTTGATGTTAAATAGTATAAAAATAGGCAATGCCATATCCTTTTGGAATACGAATGCCTTCTTTCTTTCTTTCTTAAGTAAGAGAGACAAGTTAGATAGATAGAAAGATTGGAAGGAGGGAGGGAGGGAGGGACAGATTAAACAGAAAGATACAGACAGACAGACAGACATCTGGCTGGGGAGAGAGAGAAGCTTTAT